TCAGCAGAGTGTCCAGCTCAAACTTGAGCTAGCTTTCCTGTTTGATGCTTCTCCTTCCAGCCTCTACCTCAATACCATCAGATCTCTCTTCTTATCTCCCCTCATCTCCAAGTCCATTAGCTGTAATTTCTCCCCCTCCTGTAATCCAGACTGACACAGCCCAGCAAAATCCTCAGGTCTGTCTACCATTCTCCTGTAGCCTAGCTCAGCCCAACATTTCTTAGTCCTCTTAGATCACATTCTGCCTTGCTCCTCCCAACATGTCCCACTCTGGAATCCAGTATCCATTACTTTTCCTAGTCCAACTAAGCAGCCTTCATCCCCAACCTAATTGGTTGGGGGGACTGCCACATCTTCAGCTTCAGTGTATCTTCCCTGTTGGGAAGCTTATGCCTTTCAGCCCCAAGTAAGGATTCTCTTGTACCCAGGTAGCCCTCTTTTAAGCTGATTTTGGCTAGCATGCCAAGGAATTTATCATTCAGCCTAATGTGCCCTGAATTTTTTCTAGCCTGAAATGAGTGAGCTGTTATCCACTTCTGGCACTCTAGTGCCTCTGTTAGTACTGCAGGGAGTCATCCTCACAGAGGATATCACCACTGACCTGTCGTCACCAGAAAGGCAGAGTGATGAAGATAAATTTGGACTGATTCATCCATATTCTACTCCTGGTCGTTGCCCCTCTTCTTTCTTTTCTTCCTCTTCCTCCTCTCCCCTTTCCTCCCCTTCTCTCCCCTCCCCTTCTTTCTTTCCTTCCCTCCTTTCCCTGTTTCTTTCTCTCTTTTTCTCTCTCCTTCATTCCCTCTCTCCCCCTTTCCCTTTCCCTCCCTCCTTTTCTTTCTTTTCTTTTCCCTTCCCTTCCCCTCGCCTTCCCTTTCCCCTTCCCTTCCCTCTTTCATTCTTTGCTTCCTTTTTCTTTCTTTTCTTTCAACAGAGTCTCGCTCGGTCATCCAGGCTGGAGTGCAGTGGTGTGATCTCGGCTCACTGCAACCTCTGCCTCCCTGGTTCAAGTGATTCTCCTGCCTCAGCCCCCCTGGTAGCTGGGACTACAGGCGCATACCACCACGCCTAGCTAATTATTTTTTCTTTTTCTTTTCCTTTTTTTTGAGACAAAAGAGAGACAAAGTCTCTCTCGCCAGGCTGGAGTGCAGTGGCATGATGTCGGCTCACTGTAATCTCTGCCTCCCAGGTTCAAGCAGTTCCCTGGCCTCAGCCTCCCAAGTAGCTGGGATTATAGGCATGCACCACCATGCCCAGCTAAGTTTTGTATTTTTAGTAGAGATGGGGTTTCACCATGTTAGCCAGGATGGTCTTGATCTTTTGACCTCATGATCCACCCACCTTGGCCTCCCAAAGTGTGAGATTACAGGCGTGAGCCATTGTACCTGGCCCTTTTCTTTTCTTACTTTCTTCTTTTTGTGTGTGTGTGATGAGATCTTACTCTGTTGCCCAGGCTGGAATGTAGTGATGCACTTTTTTTTTTTTTGGAGACAGGGTTTCACCATTTTGCCCATGCGGGTCTCAAACTCCTGAGCTCAAAGTGATCTGCCCGGCTCAGCCTCCCAAAGTCCTGGGATTGTAGGCATGAGCCACCATACCCAGCCCTTACCCTGATTCTTCAAAGCAAGGGGATGCATTTGGAAGAGGCTGTCAGGGTCAGGAGAACAGTCAGTGGCTATGGAAACAAAAGTTAGCTGTTGCTATAGTAAAACAGAGCTGCACCCTATCTAAAGGATGGACACATCACCAAAACTAGATTCTGGAATGTAACAAACTTGTCATTCCTCAGACTCTCAAAGTAAATTTTTTTCTCAAGAGCAAGAAGCTCATGGATAGAATGAAGGACTTAATATCCTACTAATTTTTTTTTTTTTTTTTTTTTTTTTTTT